TGGAATAGTGGTTCCTGGTTGATACTGGAGGTCAAAGTTGTAGGTTTGAGTTCTGAGTAGGAGGCTTTGGAGACGAGTAGGAGCTTTTGACAAAGGTTTTCTCACTATGGCGACAAGAGGCTTGTGATCTGTGATGACAGACATATGTCGGCCATAAGTATAGTGATGGAATTTCTGTAGGCCGAAGACTACTGCAAGTAGTTCTTTCTCAATTTGCGCATAACGCCTTTCTGCATCAGTTAAAGAGCGACTAGCATATGCGACAGGACGGCCTTCCTGTAATAGCACAGAACCAAGTCCATGTTCACAGGCGTCATTCTCAAGAGTTGCTGGTTTTGCTGGGTCATAGAACGACAATACAGGAGTAGATGAGACTAGAAACTTGACCTTGTCGAAGGAGTCTTGTTGAGACTTGGACCATGTCCAGGGTACATCCTTCTTCGTGAGGTTGCGCATTGGAGTTGTGACTTCAGTCAGGTTTGGGAGAAATTTGGCTAGATAGTTCACTAGCCCAAAGAAGCGACGTAGTTCCTCAGTGTTGGAAGGACAGGCATGTCATGTATGGCCCTGACCTTCTCTGAATCCGACTTGAGTCCGTCTTTCGTGATCACATGACCCATGAATGTGATTTCACTGAGTCTGAGCTCTAACTTGTTGGGGTTAAGTCGAATGTTCTTTTCTCGACATCGAGTAAGGAACTGCTTGAGGTTCTCATCATGGTGATTGACATCTTTTCCATGTATGAGTACGTCGTCGGCGATGCACACTACGCCAGGTAGACCATCTAACGCTTCAGTGAGTTTGCGTTGGAATATCTCAGATGAGGCATTCAATCCAAAAGGGAGCCTAAGCCACTTGTACCTCCCGAAACAGGTTTGGAAAGTAGTGATGAAGCTGGATTCTTCATCGAGTACACAATGCCAGTATCCAGATGAGAGATCGGCTTTGGAGAAGACACGAGACTGTCCGAGTTCATGGAGAGTGTCCTCAAGAATGGGTAGAGTATAGTGTTCCCGTTGGAGTGCTTTATTGAGTTCTTGTGGGTCAAGACAAATCCTGAGATCACCTGAGCGCTTTTGACTAATGGCGATTTGGCTTACCCATGGAGTGGGCTGACTGACCGGAGCAACTACACCAAGCTTCTGCATACGATCCAGTTCAGCCTTCAGTTTCGGATGGAGAGCAATCGGCACACGACGAGAGGGCATGACAACAGGGGTCACAGTGTCATCCACAGAGAGATGGACGGTGCCGTCAAAACTACCTAAAGTCCCTTGAAGAACATCTTTGTAGTTGTCCTCAATTTGCACGTAAGACACTCGCTCAATGTTATTCTCATTGAACGACACAAGTCCCATCTGTGTAGCTGCACGTACACCAAGAAGAGGGGTCAACTCATCCTCGACAATTGTGAATTCGACATTGTATTTCTTCATATTAGCTGGGTTGCTTACAGAGAGTCGTATTGACCCAAGTGGAGTGACGTCGGAGTTGTTCCACATCTTGAGATTCTTGGTTGTGGGTTGGAGTTCACCAATCTTGTCTTGAACTACAGTCACAGGTAAAACATTCACAGAAGCTCCAGGATCGATGGTGAAGATGACGTCACAGTCCGCGACTGTCATGCGACACTGAACAGGTCTCTGAGGTTTGGCTTGTACAGAGAATACCCAATCCTCCTCATGATCCAACGAATCATCATTCGATGAATTCACATTATTGACTTTGTGGTTTCTGTTTTTCAAAGAGTCACATTTAGAAGAGTAATGGTTCTTGCGTTTACATTTGGAGCATGTCTTTCCCCATGCTGGACACTGTTCTTTTATCATAACGTGAGTATTTCCACAATAAAGACATTCTCTGGTTTGAGCAGATGAGTGACTAGTAGTTTGTTGTCTGTTGTGAGACTGAGAAGAGTTTGAAGAGTGAGGCCTAGCCTTGTTAGTACCTTTCTGACTGTTCTTAGCAGGTCTGTGAGAAACTTTCTTCACAAGTTCAGGTCTGAGAACCTGAGATTGAGTAGAGGCATTTTCAGAAGCTTTGCAAATGTCAATACATCTTTCTAGAGTTAAGCCTCGTTCTCTCAACAAAGATTGCTGAGTTGTCTGATCTCCAATCCCTTGCACAAGACGATCTCTAACAATAGAGGGTACACACTCCCTGCAATAGTTGCATGTTTTTACAAGATTTCTGATTGCACCATGAAATGATTCAAACGATTCACCTTCCTTCTGACGTCTGTTATTGAAGACAAAACGTTCATATGTTTCATTTACTTCTCCTATTGCAAATGCATCAAACTTTTCAATGATTTCTGCTACAGTCCTTTCCTCTTCAAGAGTAGTAAAGTGAAATCCATTATAGATTTTCAGGGCATCATCACTGAGAGTGTTTAGAATCATGGCAACTTGATACTTGTGAGGATAGTCAGATAGCTTAGTGAGAATGTAGTAGTTTCTCCATTTTTGACGAAAGAACTTCCAAGTTTCGGCAATGTTGGAGTCAAGATTGAAGTTTGGAGGTATAATTCCGCTAACCGGTTTGAGAACTGGTTGTGCCTGCACTTGATCTACCATATCGGTGAATGGAGAAGAGAGAGATTGAGTTCACTACACATCTACAAGGACGACGCACGTGGGTTGTGTTAGGGCGAGAGTTCAACACATTACAGTAAGGGAGAGAGTCAATTTTCACTATTGAGAGCGAAATCATACGGGTGAGAGCATTCGTAGTCACCTGCTGCCACCATGTTACGTGTTCGTTTATGTGTAGTGATTCAGAACAAAGCACAACAAAAGAGGAGATGAACGATGATCCTTTTTACTTGAACATCATGGCTGACTAACACCAACTAATGACGTAGCACACATATCAAAGGGACGTAACTCGCAATTAGTGCGTTCACTTGCATACCACGTAACATCACCCACTCACTCACTATTGGATTATCACCATATCGTTTCTCCATATCGCATTTTTGCTACATCAGCATTTTGTTGCATATTGCGATATCGCGATATCGCCGCCACACTGTATTGTCACTATATCGCCATTTCGCAGGATCTCCATATTGCAGAAACGCTTTACCGCTAGATTGTAATTTCTCTGTTTGACCACTCCATATTGCAATATCAAATTAGCACCATCTCTTTATCTGTATACTGCACGATCGCTTCCTGGCCGTGTCGCCAGTTCATGGTGTGTTATGGCCATTTCTCATCATGTCACCTCCATCCTCAAAGGGGGTAAAAGTACTATAAAAGTATTGTCCTCCTGAGAGGGTACGTAAGTCCCAAAACTTTCAAAGTAAAATTTAAACATATATATATTTTTAACCTTGGCATTTTTGTTATTTTAACTGCTGGCTATATTTTCCTACAATCGCCAGTGGCTGAGGGAATGGTGTAAGTCCAGCAAGGGTCCATGCATGTAGCAAAGGCACTGTAAGTCCCCGTGGTCCCTAGTATGGTGATCTGCCTTCAGTTGTTGGCGATGTATAGCCCATTTTCACATTGTATTGTCCAAAAATAATTTTCTACTTTTAAAGATATATGCTAGCTAGTTTTAACTTAATCTGTGATAATCTATTGGTTTTACTGTCCTTCGTTGACAGGGTTTTATATATTATATGTATGTTTTATGATTTTAGAACTAGTTTTAGTCACGATATGGCTGAACTATTGCCGATGTGACATTAAATCTTAACTCTCTCACTCACTCATGTCAGCTTCATTTAGTGTCACATCACGGTGAAGTCGTGTCATGCTATCACAATTTCGTGTCATGCCATTACAATGTCGTTGGCTGCTATCACTATTTCGTGTTTGGCTATACCGTGTCACAGTATCGCTTTATCTATATAATGACACAAAATTATACAGGTGGGTATGGCGATGGGAGTAATTAGAAAACACTCGAAGCTACAAACATATACTGAAAATTTTTCAAGGAAACTTCATGTAACGACAATATATTTGAAGCAATTTCTCTGAACAAAAAACGTTTGGCAAAAGGATGGTGTACTGAAAATTTGGGGGCGCGGCGGGCGAACTGGCTAAAGCGTCAGGCTAGTGATCCAGCGAGCTTGAGGTGCCGGGATCGAGCCCACCTGTGACCGGGTGTAAAAACCTTGGAGTCAACTTTGTGTTCAGACTCTTTCAGTGTTGTCACAATCCCTAGTGTACAGTACACAACCCTGTGCACTTAAAAGAACCCACGAATCCGTTGGTATATGACCAGATGGTGGCCACATGAATACGTGCAAACACCCAGTTGCGGGTACAGCAACGTGCAGTAAACATGGACAAGTACTATGACTATGTGTCCCAGTCCAACCAGCTGTAAATGGGTACCTCGTAAAGATGGGAACGCCACACTAACTAGGTGCGCCTAGTGGCTGCAAGAGTTGTATAATCCCCGGGGAGTTGAGATTGACAATACGATGTGCCGCTGAGATTGACATCCAGTGAACGAGGGAAAAACAAAGCGCCTTTGAGCAGCTGAGCTGAGCTGGATATCGGCGCTATACAAATGTTACTATGTAAGTATGTATGTATGTAGTCCAGATGTGAAGGAAACTTTTAGGTGATGCACTTGAAGGTTTTGTGTTTGTGTTTTGGTGCAGGTGTGAAGGAAGCTTATCAGGTGATGTACATGAAGGTTGTGTCATGGTGGTTTATGTTCTAGCGCAGGTGTGAAGGAAGCTTATAAGGTGATGTCCTTGAAAATGTTGGCATGCTGGCTTGTGTTCTAGCGCAGGTGTGAAGGAAGCTTGTTACATGTAGGTGATGTACTTGAAGGTTTTGTCAAGCTGGTTTGTGTTCTAGTGCAGGTGTAAAGGAATCTTGTTGAGTGATGTACTTGAAGGTTTTTGTAATGCTGGTTTGTGCAGATGAGAACAGGTGACGGACCGAAGAACTGTGTTGGCTTGTGTGAAATCCAATTTGACACTGTTTGTCCATTGACAATTCGGCTTCAGTTGGTAGACAACAACGGAGCAGTTAGTTTCAAACAACTGATGTATTTACATTTTACATATGGTTGTGCGTACAGTAGCTGCCTTCACTCCAGGTAGTCCGTTATGTCATCACCGCCCTGTAAATATAAACTTGCATATGGCGAAAGGGACAAGTCATACCAAGACACAGAAAGACATTCAAATTGACCATCCCTCAAATGAAAAGGTAGAAAGGCATATATTTATTCTTGCATAGAGCCATGCTCACACGAAGTCAAAACAGCTATCCAGCCTGTCAGTCATATAGCCACACATCCAAGCTTAAGAATCACCTAAATGGAGTCGCACCTGTCGACTCACCCAAATGCAGTCACACTTCTAATATCACTTAAATGCAGTCACACCGCTAGTCCCACATACATGCAGTCACATCTTTAGTCCGACCTACATGCAGTCACACTCCTAGTGTTACCTACATGCAGTCACACCTCTAGTCTCACCCACACGGAGTCACACCTCTAGTCTCACCCACATGCAGTCACACCTCTAGTCTTACCTACATACAGTCACACCCCTAGTCTAGTCTCACCTACATGCAGTCACACCTCTAGTCTCACCTACATACAGTCACACCTCTAGTCTCACCTACATGCAGTCACACCTCTAGTCTCACCTACATGCAGTCACACCTCTAGTCTCACCTACATGCAGTCACACCTCTAGTCTCACCTACATGCAGTCACACCTCTAGTCTCACCTACATGCAGTCACACTCTAGTCTCACCTACATGCAGTCACACACTTCTAGTCTCACCTACATGTAGTCACACCTCTAGTCTCACCTGCATGCCTCTAGTCACACGCCTCTAGTCTCACCTACATGCAGTCACACCTCTAGTCTCACCTACATGCAGTCACACCTCTAGTCTCACCTACATGCAGTCACACCTCTAGTCTCACCTACATGCAGTCACACCTCTAGTCTCACCTACATGCAGTCACACCTCTAGTCTCACCTACCTACATGCAGTCACACATGCAGTCTAGTCTCACCCTACATGCAGTCACACCTCTAGTCTCACCTACATGCAGTCACACCTCTAGTCTCACCTACATGCAGTCTCACACCTCTCAGTCTCTAGTCTCACCACCTACATGCAGTCACACCCCTAGTCTCACTCTACATGCAGTCACACCTCTAGTCTCACCTACATGCAGTCACACCTCTAGTCTCACTTTACATGCAGTCACACCTCTAGTCTCACCTACATGCAGTCACACCTCTAGTCTCACCACACTAAATGCAGTCACACTCTAGTCTCACCTACATGCAGTCACACCTCTAGTCTCACCTACATGCAGTCACACCTCTAGTCTCACCTACATGCAGTCACACCTCTAGTCTCACTTACATGCAGTCACACCTCTAGTCTCACCTACATGCAGTCACACCTCTAGTCTCACCTACATGCAGTCACACCTCCCTGTCTCACACTCTCTCCTACATGCAGTGCAGTCACACCTCTAGTCTCTCCTTAAATGCAGTCACACCTCTAGTCTCACCTACATGCAGTCTCACCTAGGTGCAGTCACCTCTAGTCTCACTTAAATGCTCTAGTCACACCTCTAGTCTCACCTACATGCAGTCACACCTCTAGTCTCACCTACATGCAGTCACACCTCTAGTCTCACCTACATGCAGTCACACTCTCTAGTCTCACCTCTCACATGCAGTCACACCTCTAGTCTCTCACCTACATGCAGTCACACCTCTAGTCTCACCTACATGCAGTCACACCTCTAGTCTCACCTACATGCAGTCACACCTCTCTGGTCTCACCTACATGCAGTCACACCTCTAGTCTCACTTACATGCAGTCACACACCTCTAGTCTCACCTACATGCAGTCACACACTTCTAGTCTCACCTACATGCAGTCACACTCTAGTCTCTCACCTACATGGCAGTCACACACCTCTAGTCTCACCTACATGCAGTCACACCTCTAGTCTCACCTACATGCAGTCACACCTCTAGTCTCACCTACATGCAGTCACACCTCTAGTCTCACCAGTACATGTAGTCACACCTCTAGCCTCTAGTCTCACCTACATGCAGTCACACCTCTAGTCTCACCTACCTACATGTCAGTCACACACCTCTAGTCTCACCTACATGCAGTCACACACCTCTAGTCTCACCTACATGCAGTCACACTCTCTAGTCTCACCTCTACATGCAGTCACACCTCTAGTCTCACCTACATGCAGTCACATTCACCTCAGTACCTCTCACTCACCATGCAGTCACACCTCTAGTCTCACCTACACAGTCACACCTCTAGTCACACCTTCTAGTCTCACCTACATGCAGTCACACACCTCTAGTCTCACCTACATGTAGTCACACCTCTAGTCTCACCTACATGCAGTCACACCTCTAGTCTCACCTACATGCAGTCACACCTCTAGTCTCACCTACATGCAGTCACACACCTCTAGTCTCACCTACATGCAGTCACACTTCTAGTCTCACCTACATGCAGTCACACCTCTAGTCTCACCTACATGCAGTCACACCTCTAGTCTCACCTACATGCAGTCACACCTCTAGTCTCACCTACATGTAGTCACACCTCTAGTCTCACCTACATGCAGTCACACCTCTAGTCTCACCTACATGCAGTCACACCTCTAGTCTCACCTACATGCAGTCACACCTCTAGTCTCACTTACATGCAGTCACACCTCTAGTCTCACCTACATGCAGTCACACCTCTAGTCTCACCTACATGCAGTCACACCTCTAGTCTCACCTACATGCAGTCACACCTCTAGTCTCACTCTACATGCAGTCACACCTCTAGTCTCACCTACATGCAGTCACACATGCAGTCACATCTCTAGTCTCACCTACATGCAGTCACACCTCTAGTCTCACCTACATGCAGTCACACCTCTAGTCTCACCTACATGCAGTCACACCTCTAGTCTCACCTACATGCAGTCACACCTCTAGTCTCACCTACATGCAGTCACACCTCTAGTCTCACCTACATGCAGTCACACCTCTAGTCTCACCTACATGCAGTCACACCTCTAGTCTCACCTACATGCAGTCACACTTCTAGTCTCACCTACATACAGTCACACCCTCTAGTCTCACCTACATGCAGTCACACTTCTAGTCTCACCTACATGCAGTCACACCTCTATGCAGTCACCTACATCTAGTCTCACTCTACACCTCTAGTCTCACACCTACATGCAGTCACACACTCTAGTCTCACCTACATGCAGTCACACCTCTAGTCTCACTCTACATGCAGTCACACTCTAGTCTCACCTACATGCAGTCACACCTCTAGTCTCACCTACATGCAGTCACACCTCTAGTCTCACCTTACATGCAGTCACACCTCTAGTCTCACCTACATGCAGTCACACTCTAGTCTCACCTACATGCAGTCACACCTCTAGTCTCACCTCCACATGCAGTCACACCTCTAGTCTCACCTACATGCAGTCACACCTCTAGTCTCACCCTACATGCAGTCACACCTCTAGTCTCACCCTACATGTCACACCTCTAGTCTCACCTACATGCAGTCACACCTCTAGTCTCACCTACATGCAGTCACACCTAGTCTCTAGTCTCACCTCCCCATGCAGTCACACACTCTAGTCTCACCTACATGCAGTCACACCTCTAGTCTCACCTACATGCAGTCACACTTCTAGTCTCACCTACATGCAGTCACACCTCTAGTCTCACCTACATGCAGTCACACCTCTAGTCTCACCTACATGCAGTCACACCTCTAGTCTCACCTACATGCAGTCACACCTCTAGTCTCACCTACATGCAGTCACACCTCTAGTCTCACCTACATGCAGTCACACCTCTAGTCTCACCTACATGCAGTCACACCTCTAGTCTCACCTACATGCAGTCACACTTCTAGTCTCACCTACATGCAGTCACACCTCTAGTCTCACCTACATGCAGTCACACCTCTAGTCTCACCTACATGCAGTCACACCTCTAGTCTCACCTACATGCAGTCACACCTCTAGTCTCACCTACATGCAGTCACACTTCTAGTCACACTAGTTCACCTACATGTAGTCACACCTCTAGTCTCACCTACATGTAGTCACACCTCTAGTCTCACCTACATGCAGTCACACCTCTAGTCTCACCTACATGCAGTCACACCTCTAGTCTCACCTACATGCAGTCACACCTCTAGTCTCACCTACATGCAGTCACACTCTAGTCTCACCTACATAGTCTCACCTACATGCAGTCACCACATGTAGTCACACCTCTACCTCACCTACATGCAGTCACACTTCTAGTCTCACCTACATGCAGTCACACCTCTAGTCTCACCTACATGCAGTCACACTCTAGTCTCAATTCACCATATGCAGTCACACCTCTAGTCTCACCTACATGCAGTCACACCTCTAGTCTCACCTACATGCAGTCACACTTCTAGTCTCACCTACATGCAGTCACACCTCTAGTCTCACCTACATGCAGTCACACCTCTAGTCTCACCTACATGCAGTCACACTTCTAGTCTCACCTACATGCAGTCACACCTCTAGTCTCACCTACATGCAGTCACACCTCTAGTCTCACTCTACATGCAGTCACACCTCTAGTCTCACCTACATGCAGTCACACCTCTAGTCTCACCTACATGCAGTCACACCTCTAGTCTCACCTACATGCAGTCACACCTCTAGTCTCACCTACATGCAGTCACACCTCTAGTCTCACCTACATGTAGTCACACCTCTAGTCTCACCTACATGCAGTCACACCTCTAGTCTCACCTACATGCAGTCACACCTCTAGTCTCACCTACATGCAGTCACACCTCTAGTCTCACCTACATGCAGTCACACCTCTAGTCTCACCTACATGCAGTCACACCTCTAGTCTCACCTACATGCAGTCACACCTCTAGTCTCACCTACATGCAGTCACACCTCTAGTCTCACCTACATGTAGTCACACCTCTAGTCTCACCTACATGCAGTCACACCTCTAGTCTCACCTACATGCAGTCACACCTCTAGTCTCACCTACATGCAGTCACACCTCTAGTCTCACCTACATGCAGTCACACCTCTAGTCTCACCTACATGCAGTCACACCTCTAGTCTCACATGCAGTCACACCCTCTCTAGTCTCACCACTCCCATGGTCACACCTCTAGTCTCACCTACATGTAGTCACACCTCTAGTCTCACCTACATGCAGTCACACCTCTAGTCTCACCTACATGTAGTCACACCTCTAGTCTCACCTACATGCAGTCACACCTCTAGTCTCACCTACATGCAGTCACACCTCTAGTCTCACCTACACATGCAGTCACACCTCTAGTCTCACCTCACATGCAGTCACACCTCTAGTCTCACCTACATGCAGTCACACCTCTAGTCTCTACATGTAGTCACACCTCTAGTCTCACCTACATGGAGTCACACACTCTAGTCTCACCTACATGCAGTCACACTCTCTAGTCTCACCTACATGCAGTCACACCTCTAGTCTCTCACCTACATGCAGTCACACTCTAGTCTCACCTACATGTAGTCACACACCTCTAGTCTCACCTACATGCAGTCACACCTCTGCCCCTAGTCTCACCTACACATGCAGTCACACCCACATGCAGTCTCACCTCTAGTCTCATTACATGCAGTCACACTTCTAGTCTCTCACATAGTCTCACCTCTAGTCTCATCTTACATGCAGTCACACCTCTAGTCTCACCTACATGCAGTCACACTTCTAGTCTCACCTACATGCAGTCACACCTCTAGTCTCACCTACATGCAGTCACACCTTCTAGTCTCACCTACATGTAGTCACACCTCTAGGCTCACCTACATGCAGTCACACCTCTAGTCTCACCTACATGTAGTCACACCTCTAGTCTCACCTACATGCAGTCACACCTCTAGTCTCTCCCCTACATGCAGTCACACCTCTAGTCTCACCTACATGCAGTCACACCTCTAGTCTCACCTACATGCAGTCACACCTCTAGTCTCACCTACATGCAGTCACACTTCTAGTCTCACCTACATGCAGTCACACCTCTAGTCTCACCTACATGCAGTCACACCTCTAGTCTCACCTACATGCAGTCACACCTCTAGTCTCACCTACATGCAGTCACACCTCTAGTCTCACCTACATGCAGTCACACCTAGTCTCACCTCTAGTCTCACCTACATGCAGTCACACCTCTAGTCTCACCTACATGCAGTCACACCTCTAGTCTCACCTACATGCAGTCACACCTCTAGTCTCACCTACATGCAGTCACACCTCTAGTCTCACCTACATGCAGTCACACCTCTAGTCTCACCTACATGCAGTCACACCTCTAGTCTCACCTACATGCAGTCACACCTCTAGTCTCACCTACATGCAGTCACACCCCTAGTCTCACCTACATGCAGTCACACCTCTAGTCTCACCTACATGGAGTCACACCTCTAGTCTCACCTACATGCAGTCACACCTCTAGTCTCACCTACATGGAGTCACACCTCTAGTCTCACCTACATGCAGTCACACCTCTAGTCTCACCTACATGCAGTCACACCTCTAGTCTCACCTACATGCAGTCACACCTCTAGTCTCACCTACATGCAGTCACACCTCTAGTCTCACCTACATGCAGTCACACCTCTAGTCTCACCTACATGCAGTCACACCTCTAGTCTCACCTACATGCAGTCACACCTCTAGTCTCACCTACATGCAGTCACACCTCTAGTCTCACCTACATGCAGTCACACCTCTAGTCTCACCTACATGCAGTCACACCTCTAGTCTCACCTACATGCAGTCACACCTCTAGTCTCACCTACATGCAGTCACACCTCTAGTCTCACCTACATGCAGTCACACCTCTAGTCTCACCTACATGCAGTCACACTCTCTAGTCTCACCTACATGTAGTCACACCTCTAGTCTCACCTACATGCAGTCACACCTCTAGTCTCACCTACATGCAGTCACACCTCTAGTCTCACCTACATGCAGTCACACCTCTAGTCTCACCTACATGCAGTCACACCTCTAGTCTCACCTACATGTAGTCACACCTCTAGGCTCACCTACATGCAGTCACACCTCTAGTCTCACCTACATGCAGTCACACCTCTAGTCTCACCTACATGCAGTCTAGTCTCACTTCATAGTCTCACCTTAGTCTCATGTAGTCTACATCAGTCACACCTCTAGTCTCACCTACATGCAGCAGTCTCTAGTCTCTCTACATGCAGTCACACTCCACCTACATGCAGTCACACCTCTAGTCTCACTCCACATGGAGTCACACCTCTAGTCACACCTCATTCTACATGCAGTCACACCCTCTAGTCTCACTACATCTACCCCTCTAGTCTCACCTACATGCAGTCACACCCTCTAGTCTCACTACATGCAGTCACACCTCTAGCTCACTAGTCTCACCTACATGCAGTCACACTCTAGTCTCACTCCACCTACATGCAGTCACACCTCTAGTCTCACCTACATGTAGTACATGCTAGTCTCACCTCCTACATAGTCTCTAGTCTCACCTACATGCAGTCACACCTCTAGTCTCACACTTACATGCAGTCACACCTCTAGGCTCACCTACATGCAGTCACACCTCTAGTCTCACCTACATGCAGTCACACCTCTAGTCTCACCTACATGCAGTCACACCTCTAGTCTCACCTACATGTAGTCACACCTCTAGTCTCACCTACATGCAGTCACACCTCTAGTCTCACCTACATGCAGTCACACCTCTAGTCTCACCTACATGCAGTCACACTCTCTAGTTCCTACATGCAGTCACACAGTCACACCTCTAGTCTCACCCCACATGCAGTCACACCTCTAGTCTCACTCTCATGCAGTCACACCTCTAGTCTCACCTACATGCAGTCACACCTCTAGTCTCACTCTTACATGCAGTCACACCTCTAGTCTCACATGCAGTCACATGCAGTCTCACACCTAGTAGTTCCTAGTCTCAATTCCACATGCAGTCACACCTCTAGTCTCACCTACATGCAGTCACACCTCTAGTCTCACCCTACATGCAGTCACACCTCTAGTCTCACCTACATGCAGTCACACCTCTAGGCTCACTCACATAGTGTCACTCTAGTCTACATGCTACATGTCACACACTTCTAGTCTCACCTACATGCAGTCACACCTCTAGTCTCACTCTACATGCAGTCACACCTCTAGTCTCACCTACATGCAGTCACACTCTAGTCTCACCTACATGCAGTCACACTTCTAGTCTCACCTACATGCAGTCACACTTCTAGTCTCACCTACATGTAGTCACACACCTCTAGTCTCACCTACTAGTCTCACCTCTAGTCTACATGCAGTCACACCTCTAGTCTCACCTACATGCAGTCACACCTCTAGTCTCACCTACATGCAGTCACACCTCTAGTCTCACCTACATGCAGTCACACCTCTAGTCTCACCTACATGCAGTCACACCTCTAGTCTCACCTACATGGAGTCACACTTCTAGTCTCACCTACATGCAGTCACACCTCTAGTCTCACCTACATGCAGTCACACCTCTAGTCTCACCTACATGGAGTCACACCTCTAGTCTCACTCCTACATGCAGTCACACCTCTAGTCTCACCTCTAGTCTCACCTCTAGGCTCACCTACATGCAGTCACACTTAGTTTCTAGTCTCACCTACATGCAGTCACACCTCTCACCCTCTACATGCTCACTCTAGTCTCACCTACATGCAGTCACCTACACCTCTAGTCTCACCTCTCTCATGCAGTCACACCTCTAGTCTCACCTACATGCAGTCACACCTCTAGTCTCACCCCTACATGCAGTCACACCTCTAGTCTCACCTACATGCAGTCACACCTCTAGTCTCACCTACATGCAGTCACACCTCTAGTCTCACCTACATGCAGTCACACCTCTAGTCTCACCTACATGCAGTCACACCTCTAGTCTCACCTACATGCATGCAGTCACACCCTAGTCAGTCACACCTCTAGTCTCACCTACATGCAGTCACACCTCTAGTCTCGCCTACATGCAGTCACACCTCTAGTCTCACCTACATGGAGTCACACCTCTAGTCTCACCTACATGCAGTCACACCTCTAGGCTCACCTACATGCAGTCACACCTCTAGTCTCACCTACATGCAATCAGTCACACCTCTAGTGTCACCTACATGCAGTCACACCTCTAGTCTCACCTACATGCAGTCACACCTCTAGTCTCACCTACATACAATGCATTCCCCTCACATGCAGTCACACCCCTAGTCTCACCTACTTGCAGTCATACCTCTAGTCTCACCTCCATGTAGTCACACCTCTAGTCTCACCTACATGCATTGACGCCTCTAGTCTCACTTCAATGCAGGCACACCTCTAGTCGCACCTACATGGAGTCACACCTCTAGTCTCACCTACATGGAGTCACACCTCTAGGCTCACCTACATGGAGTCACACCTCTAGTCTCACTTCAATGCAGGCACACCTCTAGTCTCACCTACATGGAGTCACACCTATAGGCTCACCTACATGCAGTCACACCTCTAGTCTCACCTACATGGAGTCACACCTCTAGTCTCATCTACATGGAGTCACACCTCTAGGCTCACCTACATGTAGTTTGGAACTGCTGCACTCACTGACTATGACATTGTCTGGAGCCTGCTTCGTAACATTGAAGTTGGGTACTGCCACACTCAATGACGTTGATAGTGTTTAGGGTGTGGTTCTTTGTATTAAAGTTGGGTACTGCCATACTCACCGACGGCGATACCGACATGGGTGTGGTTTGTGTTATTAAAGTTAGGTCCAGCGGTGATACAGAACCTATTGCACGTGAACAGAGCCTCTACAGTGATGTTGCCTTTGGCGCCTAAAATGGTCGGTTGGTCATCGAGGTTGCCACTGAGACAATTGGAGATGCACTGCAGGAACCAGTTGACTCGTTGCGTTGACAAGTGGGCGTCATCAAATGTGGATTTAACTGAATTTGAATAAGTCACGCTGACGTCATGCAATCCTAAGACTAAGAGAGTGATTGAGTATGGTTTAGCAATATTCCAGCAATATTCCCGCAATAGTCCAGCAATATCACCAGAAATGTTCACACATTGTACCCATTTGACAAATTGAACCAGGGTGTTTTTTTGTGACGAATAACGATTTAATCATTACCCTACCCCATCACGCTGTAATCCAGAGATATGCTTCGAGGTTGATCTTTGAATCTGAGATGTTTTGATGCAGCATTATGTGTAGCTACACAGCTGTGGTCACGCTGCAGGAGGTCTACCTCTTACACTAAGTTTACAGCGAGGAGAGTACACCATAACATCATGTCAAGGAGGTTGTAAAGTAAATTCAAATAGTAACAGCAGGCATGAATTACAAACACTGTTAAATGTAGACAAATATTTTGTTACACCATACAGAGAAAAAAAACACGCCACGTATTTACTTATCGATACAAGTTCAACTGTGCAACAATTATTATTTAACATCTGGATATAATATACGTCGAATGACAAAAGGCCATGCCTGCTATATGACAGACATAAATACATTTTAGTCAATTCATATGCTAATGTATAAAGAAAAAAATTTTGCAAATTGTGTCTCGTTCACGATGAAGCAAAATATTCCATGATAAATATACATAAAGATATTTTATACGGTCTGATCTTATCGCAGATAAGGAAAATCATTTGCTAAAAAAATAGTTCAATACTGATATTTTCACAAGTACGTTTTAAAACTGGCCATGTTGTCAATGGGTAGGTCAAGGAATGGGATGTCCGTCTGGATTTTAACATTCTGTACCAACGACCTCCTTTATGAACTTGGGAGATCCTGGTTACAATTCACATTCAGCAAACCATTCTTGTCGTAAAAGGCGACCTACGGGATCGGGTAGTCAGGCTCGCTACATTGATTCACACATGTCATCGTATCCCATTTGCATTGATCGATGCTCATGTTGTTGATCACTGGTCTGGACTATCTTGTGCAGGCTCGAATATTTACAGTCCGCCGCCATATAGCTGGAATATTGCTGAGTGCGGCGTTTACAACAACCAAACTAACTAACATCAACTCTCAGAATTAGTACAATAAGAGCAAAGAAATATTATGAATATGCAAACCGGTTATCAAAAGTTTGTATATATTTATCTTGAACACTAATAACGATTTATCCAGTAATATTTTGGGTGAATTCGGACGCAAAACTGCAATCGACAGGTTTGAGTTAAACTGGTTACTTAAACCGACATTCGCCTCGATGTTCAAACGACAGTTGGGGCGGTGGGGTAGCCTGGTGGTTAAAGTGTTCGCTTGTCGATTCTGGTCGATTCCTCACATGGGTGCAATGTGTGAAACCCTTTGCTGAAATAATGCTAAACACGGCGGAAAAGAACACTCATTCACTCCCTCCCTCACTCACTCAAACGACAGTGATCAAAATATCGAGGATTGTCGGGGAGGATTTTCGTTCATCTTATTTACACAAATGTGTCATGTGAATAATTAGACACAAACTGACAAGCTGCAATTTGCTATTTGATTTGATGTTGCAATAATTAGTCAGATATGCAGATAAACACGTTTTAGTTATTTTACCACAGTTTTAGTGTGAAGCAGGTCTGAACCGTATATAGCTTCTGTCAAATTTACCAAGGCCTATTTCTGAATCCCATATTCCCCGACATATTCCTTCTGTGCGATCATCCTTCCATGCAGAACACTGCTGTGGTAATCTGTCCAGGCATACCTGTTGTACCTAAATTTCCAAATGCATATCCCTGCTGTACCTTAAATTTCCTGTACTGTAAAATTATTGTCCGCCTGAGAGGGTACGTAAGTCCCAAAACTCTCAAAGTAAAATATAAATTTACCACATTTTAAACGTAGTATTTTTGTTATTTTAACTCTCGGCTAAATATTCCCACAATCGCCAGCGACTGAAGGGATGGTGTAAATCCAGCTAGGGCCCATATAGTTAGCAAAAGTAATGTAAGTCCCCATAGTTCATAGTATGGTGATCTACCTTCAGTTGTTGGCGATCTATAGCCCGTGTTTTATACTGTATTGTCTTCTTTAATTGGAATGTTTAAGCTTTGCTCGCTAGTTTTATATTCATATCTGTGATATTCTAATGTTTTCACTGTCCATCGTCGACAGGTTTTACTCTTCTAAATGTTTTCACTTGTTCTTGTATAAATTGTTTTCGTCACGATATGGCTGAGATATTGCCGATGTGACGTTAAATATTAACTCACTCACTCACTTAATTTCCTTATGTATATTCCTGCTGTGCCTTAATTTCACCATACATATTCCTTCTGTACCTTAAGTTCCCCATACATATCCCTGATGCACCTTATTTTTCCGTGCATATTCCTTCTGTACCTTAATTTCCCCATTCGTATCCCTGCTATACATTAATTTCCCCCATGCATATCCCTGCTATACATTAATTCCCCCATGCATATCCCTGCTATACCTTCATTTCCCGATACATTTCCCTGCTATACTTTAATTTCCCCCATACACATCCCTGCTATACCTTCATTTCCCGATACATATCTCTGCTATACATTAATTTCCCCCATACATATCCCTGCTAACCTTCATTTCTCGATACATATACCTGCCATACCTTAATTTCACCATACATATCCCTGCTTTTCTTTAATTCCCCCCATACATATCCCTGCTATACCTTAATTACCCCATACATATCCCTGCTATACCTTAATTTCCCCATACATATCCCTGCTATACCTTAATTTCCCATGCATATTCGTTCTGTATCTTAATTCCCCCATACATATTCCTGTTGTGCAATACTCTGACTATGCATGTCCATGCTGGGCGATAATCTTTCCATGCATATTCTTGCTGTGTAAAACCTAAATGTTTTTTTCTCACGTACATTTTTCCGTGTACATAATCGTACCAAGATCCTATTCTGGGAATGGTCAGTGCCTCAGTTCCGCGATAGGCCAAAGCATGGTGAACCTCATTTTGTTTTATTATTTGTAATACTAAACAGATATATGTTGATGTAGCCATGTGAAACCAGTTCTATCAAGGTGTACACTATTCACGACTCCAAGGTTACAAAACACAAATGCGAATTCTCAATGGGTGTGAATGCATGTTCGGTTCATCCTTATACTATATTTCAAAGTTGAACTCTTATTTTCAGTGAGTGAGTAAAAGGATATAGACAGTCGGCAATAGTTCATCCATATCGTGACTAAGAATGTAATTTAGTCATAACGAATAAAGTTATATCATATCATGTCATAAATCTGTCGCCAAAGGATAATAAAATAACTAGATTGTCACAACTACAGATTTAAAAGTAAGAAGTGAGTTTAAATTAAACCACTATTCAGAACAATACAATATTAAAAGGGGCTACAGGTCGAAGCAACTGGAGGTAGATCACCATATTAGAGACCTTGTTTTGTAAAGTGAACGTCTTGGGAAAATGGATTGGATCTCTCTGTTGACCTACTTACGTTTATTCATAATGGCTGTCACGGTATTTGAAACCTGCTGGTTTTGTACAACTGAAATGGAAATATAACGGTTGAACGTCAGAGCACAAGAGCCTCGTTTGGAGCCGATGTGCCTGGAGGGAATCGCTTTCCTCAGAAATACAAATTGGGTAACATCAAAGAAAATTAATTAAACACTCCAATACTATAATCTGGCCACGTAAATGTTGATAACTTTCCTGGTTGTAGACACTACACTTTAAAGAGTGTGGCGTTTGGGACTCACAGTTAAACATTTTATGGATTACATAGTAGTCTTACATATTGGATTGACGGTGTGATAAAACTAGTTTAAAATACCTGTGTCACCATATGTTATAAGTATATATATCCCGCTGCAACAGTGCGGTTGGGATGTAAAATTGTACTCACTTTGGATAACGCTATTTTAAGAATAATAGCGTGTGATAGGTATTGGTTATGTTGGAATAGGCTATGGACGGCAAACTTTGGTTAATGAAGACCAAATCTAACCTGGTGCTTCATCGTAACGTTGTATGGATGATGATCACAATGTCAACCACAGGCTTGAATTATATACAATTCAAAACTATTTTAAGCGTTTGACATTTATACGGTTGTCCTTCTGACAAACTCAGCTGCCTATCCCCTTATCTGCTTTCACCACCAACCACATTTACAGTTACTCACCGGCATCACTGATGTCATGAATTACGTGATTCAACACTGAAAGGGAAGAAAGTACACCATGACACAATTAAACCTTTTGTACGTGATGGAATATTTGTGAGTGAGTGAGTTATTATTTTATCGTCACATCGGCAATATTTCGGTGATACCGTGGCGAGAACAATTTATAGATAAAAGATAAGTACATTTTAAAGCTTAATACCTGTCTACGATAGACAGTAAAACGAGTATCAGATAGTAAGGTAAACCTAGCATGTTTTTACAAAAAAATATCATTAAAGGGAATAATACATAATATAAATGGGCTATAGATCACCAGAAACTGAAGGGAGATCACCATACAAGCGACCATGGGGACTTACATTACTTTTGCTGCCTGCATGGACCCTAGCTGGATTTACACCATTCCCTCAGCCGTTGGAATTTCAGTTTAGCCAAACGTTACACATATTCTAGAAGCACGTAGTATGAAACATTGCTAACCTTGAATGAGATGGGACATACCCTCTCATGGGAACAATTGAATAATTATTAGGGTGACAATTGAGGGGAAACTGCAACATACTATTTCGATAGCGATAGTCTATTGCAACATATTGTTGCGATGGCGTCTTTACGCGGGCAGAAGATTTGTGCTGTAGAGGATGCAGAGAATGTGTAAAGAGTGTTATTGCGATAGAGATAGTTTATTGTGGTCATCTATTACAATAGGTTTTTTTCCTCCTTGAATTGTTTCATTTGAATTCATTTCCCAAATGAATATATAGTTTATATGAAATGAAAACAAGTTAACGTAGTTTCAGTCTCTTTTGATAGTTGGCAAGAAACTTGAAACTCAGATCAAGTAAACAGTCATGTTTGTTTAAGAGGTAACAGGGGCGGATAACTCAAATTCGAAGTGAACGAATCTGGTACTTTCTGCATTTTGCGCTGCGCATTTATCAACGGAAGTCAATTACTGAACGATAGATACTATCACATACTATCGTTGCATCGATAGTTTTTCGTTTCTACCATCGATTAATTGCTATCGGAGTCCCTCAACAATTGCAATCCATCGATAGTTCGATGCATCGTTACTGTCCTATTAGTTATGCTATTTTGTCAGTTATAAATTTAATTTTGTTTAAGAATGATATAACTAGAAATGATATAGGTATTTAGTAAAGCAGTAAATATAAGTTGTATGCTTCTCTCGAGGGTAATACGGTCTGGTGTACGCATCTTTGTAGCAGGGTCACCAGAGCCAGTAGGCAAGGGATAACACTGCTAAAAAGGGGCGTACATCAGACCGTATTACCCGAGGGAGAGGTTTACAACGTATTTATCTTACCGTCATGTTAAATGTACAAATTATCATTTTATTTTATTTTGGAGATCGATAAGCTCGCTACTGACTATAAGACATGTTTACAAAATGGTCTCTGCCTTTCGACTGGATTTTTAATATCAGTGAAACATATTCTGTCAAGTTTAAAACTGCTATAAAACGGATCAATTATATCCAAATTGAGTGTGCAAGCGATGAAATCTATAAACTATTTTAAATAAAGCATTGGAAGTCTGTAAAATAAATGCCAGGGTAACTGTGGATATCAATAACATATTTAACTGTGGATATCATCAGTCAGGGATAACTGCTAATAACACCAGGATAACTGTGTATATAAATCAGAGATAATTGCTGATATCACTGAGGGGTAATTGTTGATATCACTGAGGGGTAATTGTTGATATCAGTCAGGGATAATGGTGGATAGCAATCAGCTATAACTGAGGGCATCAATCAAGGATAACTGATGAAATAAATGAGAGATAAATGTATGTACGAACCAGGAAACGTGTTATCTTTGGTTGATAGCCACGATTGTGCTATATATACTAGGCGCATAAAGAAACTGTGCATACAAAAAAATAAAATTAAAATTTATCAAACCTGTGTAGACACATAAGGATTTAAACTCAGAGATTAGTGACATGTATCTAACATGCATGCACGTGCCACGTTCCGTGACGGCAGTGGGTTCGTCCTTGAGACGTGCAATACGTTGCTGCACGTGCATTCCGGGAAAGAGAAACAGAGCAAATGAATGCCACACAATACTGTCACTTTGGAACGCTCAACCCCTGCCCTTGCGATCGTTCCAAAAATTAAACGGCTATTGAACTGCATAGCATGCCAAGGTTCACGTCTGCACAACGTTATGGGCTATTGGGATGCTCCGTGGGGGAATGTCTCAACGACGAGTGGCTGTTCATTTCCACTGCCACCGGAACACCATTTCTGCACTGGTGAAACGCTACCAGAACACAAATGACGTCATCGATCGGCCACGTTCTAGACTTCCACGTGTAACAACGCCAAGACAGGACAGATGGGTAAGGGTGACCCATCTGCGCCACAGGTTTTGGACTGCAGTGATGACTGCCCGAACCATCCCGGGACTTCCCCGTATCCATCCCAACACAGTTCGACAACGTTTACGTCATCACGTGATCAGACCACGACGTCCCGCCATACGGCCTATCCTGATACAACGTCATCGAGAAGCTCGCCGAATGTGGTGCCGAAATCATGTCCGCAGACCCTTGTTTTGGTGGAGAAATTGTTTTTACCGATGAATCCAGGTTTAACATTTCCCATAGTGAGGGACGTCAACGTGCCTATAGACGAGTGGGAGAACGTTATGCACAGGCCTGTGTCTTGGGGAGGAATCGCTTTGGTGGTGGTTCCGTGATGATTTGGGGTGGAATAACAGTACGCAAAAGAACTCCTTTGGTGATTGTTCAGGGCAGCTTAACTGTCGTGGGCTACAGGGATCAGATTCTTCGACCTGTGGCTATTCCTTTTCTGCAACGTCATGGCCCTGGGTTAACATTCAAACAGGACAATGCCCGCCCTCATACGGCAAGGGTTGCTATGGATTTCTTGCAACACCACAACGTTGACTTACTGCCTTGGCCTGCAAATTCACCGGATCTCTCCCCGATAGAGCATGTTTGGGACGAGATGGATCGACGTCTACGCCGTCTTCCCCATCCGCCAGATAACGTCATTGACCTTGCAACAGAACTTGAGAGAATCTGGCGTGACATCCCACAAGCCTCCCTTTGATAGGCTCCATGCGTCGTCGATAAACTTCTGTTCTCAATGCCGATGGTGGACATACCCGTTATTGAGCTTGTGACATGGTCGTTTGACCCCTGTCCCGCTTGTGGACTCCTGACGTCATTGTGATTGACCTTTCAATGGAAATTCTCCCGACTTGTTATTGTCTCATGATCCCTCCATTAAAGTTTATATGTACCTTTGCCATTGTTATCGTACTTATCAACTGGGATGATATTTTGACAATGCACAGTTTCTTTATGTGGTTAGTATATCAATCAAGGATAACTGTATATATCTGTCATGGAGAACTGTGGATATCAATCAGGGTAACGGTAGATATCAATCAGGTATAACTGTATATATCACGAGGAGAACTGTGGATAGCAATCAGGGTAACAGTAGATATCAATCAGGTATAACTGTATATATCACCAGGAGAACTGTGGATATCAATCAGGGTAACAGTAGATATCAATCAGGTATAACTGTATATATCACCAGGAGAACTGTGGATATCAAACAGGGTAACATTAGATATCATTCAGTGAGTGAGTGAGTTAATATTTATCGTCACATCGGCAATATTTCAGCCATATCGTGACGAGAACATTTTATAATTATATTAAAGATGAATAAAGTTAGAAATTAAAAAACCTGTAGACGAAGAACAGTAAAACTACTAGTGTATCACATATATCCTTTTAAAGCTAGCAATTAAATCTAAAATATTGGAACTAGAAATGACAATACAATATAAAAACAGGATGTAGATTGCTAACGACTTAAGGTAGATCACCATACTAGGGACCATGGGGACTTACAGCACATTTGATTCCTGCATGGACCCTAGCTGGATTTACACCATCCCTTCAGCCGTTAGCAAGTTTAGACAATTTAGCCATAAGCTAAAATAACACATATTCTACGCTGAAAACTAATGGTATGTTTAAATTTAGTTTGAATGTTTGGGGACTTACATCCCCCTACAGGAAGATATCATTCAGGTATAACTGCATATATCACCAGAAGAATTGTGGATATCAATCAGGGTAACAGTAAATATCAACAGAGATAACCGTATATATCACCAGGAGAACTGTAGATATCAATCAGGGTAACAGTAGATATCAATCAGGTATAACTGTATATATCACCATGAGAACTGTGGATAGCAATCAGGGTAACAGTCGATATCAACAGAGATAACCGTACATATCACCAGGAGAACTGTAGATATCAATCAGGGTAAAGGTAGATATCAATGAGGTATAACTGTATATATCACCAGGAGAACTGTGGATAGCAATCAGGGTAACAGTAGATATCAATCAGTGATAACTATATATATCACCAGGAGAACTGTGGATATCAATCAGGGTAACAGTAGATATCAACAGAGATAACCGTACATATCACCAGGAGAACTGTGGATATCAATCAGTGTAACAGTAGATATCAATCAGGTATATAGAGAATCTCACCGAGTGTCTTTTGATATCAAATATATCACCACGAGTTGATAAAGTAAGAAATATCCGAGGCTTGCCAAGGATATGTTTACTTTTATCAACGAGTGTTGATTAATTTGATATCAGAAGACACGAGGGTGAGATTCTATTTATCATCAAAAATTACTCTTCATTAGCTTTGAATGAAAAATGTACATCTCTGAACACAGTACTGCCATTAGATTTGCAGTGCAGAGATGTCATAGCATTGTGACGTCATAGCATTGTCAGGGCATTGTGCAAAATCTATTGTCAAAACGATATCTCCTAGGAGATATCGTCTGATCTCACACAAGCGATTTCTCCTCTGGAACACAGTTTTGGATGATAAAACTGTATATATAACTAGGAGAACTTTGGATATCAATCAGGGTAACAGTAGATATCAATCAGGTATAACTGTATATATCACCATGAGAACTGTGGATAGCAATGAGGGTAACAGTAGATATCAATCAGGTATATAGAGAATCTCACCCGAGTGTCTTTTGATATCAAATATATCACCACGAGTTGATAAAGTAAGAAATATCCGAGGCTTGCCAAGGATATGTTTACTTTATCAACGAGTGTTGATATATTGATATCAGAAGACACGATGGGTGAATTCTATTATCATCAAAATTACTCTTCATTAGTTTTGAATGAAAAATGTACATCTCTGAACACAGTACTGCCATTAGATTTGCAGTGCAGAGATGTCATAGCATTGTGACGTCATAGCATTGTCAGGGCATTGTGCAAAATCTATTGTCAAAACGATATCTCCTAGGAGATATCGTCTGATCTCACACAAGCGATTTCTCCTCTGGAACACAGTTTTGGATGATAAAACTGTATACATAACTAGGAGAACTTTGGATATCAATCAGGGTAACAGTAGATTTCAACAGAGAGAACCGTACATATCACCAGGAGAACTGTAGATATCAATCAGGGTAACAGTCAATTAGGAATGACTGGGGATATCGATCACGGATATATCTGAGTATCAATCAGGGGTAACACAAGATATCAATGAGGGATAACCGTAGATATCAGAAGGGGATAACTGTTGCTATCAACCAGGGATAATTGTCGATATTAATCAGAGATACCTGGTGGTATCAATCTGAGATATTTTGTGTATTTGATTCCGAGAATACTATGTACATGTGAATCAGGACAACTGTTATCCCTGGTTCACGTACACAGTTATACCTTATGTATATCAATCAGCAATAACTTAGTATATGAACCAAGGATATCAGTGGATATCACTCAGCTGAAGTAGACCTAACAACTCATCACCCAGAAGCGACAGTGGCTTGGTTCCATCACCATGAGACAAGGAGATCATACGTTTATCATTTCATTCTTACCTTGAACTATAGAGGAGGCACTGTCGTCAGTTTCATTGGCTACGAGGCTTTCTGAAACTGGCAGAGAAACAGTAAAGACAATTGGAGATAAACAATCACCGTCAACACAGCTAGCATGACCTTGAAATAAAGACTGAGTGAGAAAATGTATAGTCACAACGGCCATATTTCAGCCGTATCGTGACAAAAGCAAGTCATGCGTTAATAATAGATACTGTACTAGTATAAAATCTTTCGACAAAGGAGGTTACTTTATGACTGTAGCACTATTTCGGACACCACAAGATAAAAAGATCGCCAGCAACTGAAAGTAGATCATTATACTAGGGCCCATGGAGACATACAATACCTGCTGAATTTACACCATCCCTTAAGCCGTTGTACTCCATTTAGCCAAACCTTAAAATAATACAATGATACAAAGGATAGAAACGATACAAGACTGTGTATCGAAACGTCGCATCAACCGAATGAAAAAGGTGTTCATCCATGGAGTTTGCCCATATCTGACTCTCCAACTTGTAAATATGCCACTCAAAGAAGTCATGACACACGAAGAAATTAAAAGAATATATTTCCTGCGATTAAAAACACAGATGAAGAAAACTACTTTGAATGAAATTGGAATTACATACCCTCTCAGGGGTACACTATGGCTTTGGTCACGGATATCTGCAGGCGGTGAAAAGCGAGTACGAGTATGGTTTTACGCCGCTTTTTAGGATTATTCCAGCAATATCGGGGAGAGGGCACCAGAAATGGGCTTCACATATTATACCAATGTGGGGAATCGAACCCGGATCTTCGGCGTGACGAGAGAACGCATTAACCACTAAGCTACCTCACCGCCCCTGGAAGTGAAGCGAGATGATGACTGTCACATATGGCCTGTCCACGCCCTCACAATTGTCTCATCATGACCATGACAAACCGTAACCAGGGTAGTTCTCGACTCCGACATGACCGTGACATGATTATAACATGACTGATCTATGACTCGTGTTGCCGTTATGCTCAACGCTGCAAAATTACAGCTATGTGAAAGCAGCCTGTGAATGCTAAAAGCTGGACCAGATAGGCCCGTGATTAATATTGTGAACACACGGATATACAGCTGCTAACCAAAAGTCCGTTCAATTCCTAAAAACACATTCATTGCAACAATTACAAGGGTATAACTATGCAAAATGATGGACATCGTGACAATAAGTTGATGAACATGTTTAGATATTAGTAAGGGGTAGCTCCACCCTTATTACGTAGAGCTACCCGTTACGGCTCGGATTCTTTTCGGCAAACTGTCGTACAAGGTTTGAAGGGTGCCTTTTTCAGTCCATGCCAGTGTTTCTTCACTGATTGCCATATTTGTTTACTGGATGTTGGCATGTCCCGAGCTATTTTTTCTTGCCAATAACACCACACAAAATGACTGTATTACCCAAATTTACTAACGTCAGGAAATACTCGTTTCATCCGGCGGCCATATGAACAACGTTTGAAATCTACGTATCATCTGGCCGTCAGATTTACACACGTTTAAAAGGGTGTTAAAATAAACGAACATTCGACTCTGCATTTACATGTATTTCACAGGTGTGTAAATCTGGCCATTGTTTCCATGTGTTTCCTAACATGTGTAACATATGTAAATGCTGTGATTGTAGGACATGCATTTCAATACCCTTGAAATCTCGTATGACCAGGGTTAGGTTTGTCATATATTTTGTACATGCGTAAATGGTTGGAAATGAGTAAGTATAGTGTTACAAGATTAGCACTACTTTGACATGTATTTCAATGGTGCTGTAATGTAACTGTCACATAGGGTTCGTTAGCGCGTCCGACCACGCCATAATGTACTGAGATAATTAGTAACACATGGTGAAGTGATACCCATGACTGAGCACCACTAATAACGTACGTGTCTTTCTTGACATACACATGGTGTCTGTTTAAAAGGTTCAAATATCGGGTCTATGGGCCAGAGCGATATGTATGTTAGGAGTGTGTGTGTGTGTGCGAGGGAGAGGGTGTGGCATGGGTAGGCCTAGGGTGGGGTGGTGGCGGTGGTCGGTGTTGGGGTATTGATAAGTCTTTCTGACCAATAGGTAATATCATTTATACTTTTTGTTATGGAAATTACATAACAGTTTAAATAACTGACCTTAGGTACACTTATTATATATGCTATACTAGGAGACACTGCTAATTACAATAAAACACAGGTCCAGACGAATGTGTCTACACAGACATGAACCGGTAGGTCCCTTACTTTAGTGCTCACTTGTATGATTTATCCGACTGATGAGTTATCCGACAAATTTCATTATCTATACTTTCATAAAAGATGATTACAATGTATTAATGATTCCCGGTGTAAATTACTTTTGTAAATGTGTGAACATGCACATACTTGGTGCGACCTCTTTTTGATTCGGAATACAGGTATTATTCCATACGGACGTTTTCTCAAATTTCAGTTACCCGACGGAAAATACTGTAGACATATTTTGTTTCCACCTCTTGGGTAGACTAAAGAAAATTGTAGTGATTGCAATTAGCTCATAACTAAGCAGTTTCGATAATTGTTGAAAGCTTACTACCTGACAGCATTATGTTGCTCATGCGTTTTCTTTTTTGCTTTTGCTTTTTGCTGTCTAATTTGTTATACATTATATAATCATGTTAATCATTTTGGTATCTCAATATCATGGAATATAATATGTACTTATTAATCTATCAAAGTACCGAAACGTATTATCTGTATGCTGTACTGTTATTGGGTGAAACTGTTAAAAGTACCTTCGTACAGAATTTCGTGGAAACAGAAAATGAAAATTACTAGATCAATGGAAAACTAAATTGGATAAAGATCGCAAACAATCATTATTTATATTCCACTTTTTAAATTATCAGTGTGCAGATCATGTGACTAACATAAAAACTAAAGGATATATGGTGACAAAACTGGGCTCAATCTTGAATGTATAATAAATGTACCAACAGTATCAAGGAATGATGGGGTACGCTCGTGGCTAAAGCGTTCGCTTGTCAAGTTAAAAACCGGTGTTTGATTCCCGACAAAGGCACATTAAGACTGAAAATATATTATTTTGATAAAAGGCAAAGATCTTAATTTCAATTGAAAAAAAGAGACGAAGTAATTTGGACTAACAACATCTATATTGGGGCTACAGGTGCAGGAAGCATCTTCAATTATAAAATCACATTCCACAAATATCAGATAAAGGTTTAAATGACAAGCATATTTATTGGTATCTTGCCAAGCTATGTCCTCTCCCAATGCAGTATAACCAGAGTGCTGTGGTCACTACCTCCGGTGGCCAAATTCAGCAATCCCATTACTTTACAGTATTTTCTTACAGGCATATATTGGAAAGTTAACTTTTACGGGTATGGAAAGAGTGTGTGGGGGGACACGTGCAAAGTATTAGTACGCTGATATTATCCTTCAAAACATCATATGTACAACAATCACTTATCATTATGGCATTACAAAAGGCCATATTTCCAGACAACATAACATCACCTTTGGCTGGAGTTCCAAATAATTTGACACCGAAAGCCTGTCAGTTAACCCAAAGGAAATAACCCTTGTGTGTTTTAAAGTGATAGGCACAATGAAGTATAGGTTGCCATGCATTTTATAGTCTGTCTCACAGTCCCTGAACCACATTATTTTCCTTACTGTTTAGTCTGTCTCACAGTCCCTGAACCACATTATTTCCCCTACTGCCAAGCCCTCTGTGCAGTGCTAAAGCCTTAAATGAAGCAAGTCTAGATCTCCTCAGGTCCAGGGTCTGTTAACATCTGCAAGAACCCTAACTCACTTTGGGGGTCGGGTTACAAAGTAAACATATCTATAGCTAACTGCAGCCATGGCTAGCCGGACTGAATCTCGTGTCTCCCTGGGGCTCAATTTAAATGGGCTTGTTTGTTACTATCAAAATTATATATATTCAGACACTAAGCGTTAGTCTATGTATTTTCCGATATGATGGAAATACTAATATTGACCACATAAAATTCTAAAGGAGCCTTCCTTAAAGCTGTGACTTAACGCCATACATAGCTAGACTTGCTTAGATGATAGACTTCATATAAGGCATCACAGATATTTCACAAACATGGTACAGGACCCTTAGCCTCATTAGCTTATTGCCTCCCCACTTGCGAATTAAGCGTTGGCAGATGTAAATGTTACTGGATATGTTGGTCCCGCCAGCTGTGGGTGTTCAGTATGGCTCTCCATAACCCGAACCCTGCAGTGAGTTTTCCTAGAGACGGAAGGGGAGAAAATATCGTTCTGTGACTATGGAAAACCAAAAATGTGGACAGCACACCATTGTTTGGGTCTTTTAATTGTAAATATGATTCAACTAGCTTAACCTAGATTTCGATATCCTTCGAATGTACATTTGGTGGAAAATATATATTTATCCCGAGACAAGGACGAATGTTTATATATAATTAAAAAATGTAACGGCACTAGTATCCATTTTCTCTTTTGTCTTCTACCTGTCAGAACTAGATTAACAACTAGTCTCTGATATGAACATATTTTACAGAAAAAAAGTTGATAGTAAAAAAAGAATATTATATAAGGGAAAAGGAGCCCTGAGACTTTCTCCTGAAGCTGTTAAAATCTAGACTTGCCACATTTTGTAGACTTGCGTGGGCTTGGATATATTTGCTTCAGGGTCTGTATGACAGACGACGTCCCAACACACGCTCAATCACATGTGTCTCCAGGTCAGGGAGAATCAGTGGTTAGAGGCCCGTATTGCAATTCTCGTGCGTTTGTCAGGCACGTAGCAAGCCATGTTTTCGTGTAAGCAATATGAGCTGCAAAGCCTTATATTTAGTTGGTATTGAAGGCTTGTCCAACTTTCATTTTTTGTGAGACTTGAAGAGTTATCGTTTGACGTTTGATGATTTCAATAGCTTCAAAATATGGTGGAAAGACTTCCGCCTGTATCCCCTTTAAATTTCATTCTAGTCAAATCATATCACCTGAATATATATTCCTCATCCGA